TTTTAACCGCTGTAGTAACAAAATTTTGCAAGTCTGAATATCTTTTCCCTGTCCCCTGCCTTTGTCTTTGAGTGAAGTGCGTCCGTGCGTGCGTGTGTGTGTGTGTGTGTGTGTGTGTGTGTGTGTGTGAGAGAGAGAGAGAGAGAGAGAGAGAGAGAGAGAGAGACTTTAGTTTCTTTGTGTAGCCTCAAGCTACATTTGTCTGTGTTGCCTTGGTAACAGCTCTTCCTTCTGTCTTTCAAGACCATTCTCTATGTCCTTTACAGAAGCCCACAAATAGGGATAAAGAAAACAGAACTTCTCAGCAATTGAATGTGGAAAAAACTAATAATATGCACTATACGAGCCCATAATGAAGAGTTATTGACACAAACTATCAAACCCCTTCTAGAAAACCTTTCCTGAAACAACGGAGTACTATGACATGAATAATTCCTAAAGCTGATGCACTATATAAAGTCACCTAAAGTGCAGATTTATGTGAGCTCAATTCCATAAAACAACATCCTGCTACCCATATCTAATGACTCCCAATAATGATGAAACCAGTAACACTGTGTCTCCTGGTGGTCAATGTAATTAATCACTGATAGAGGGGAAAACAGTTTCTAAAACAGTATCATTTCCTATAGAAACATGGAAATTCAACAACATTGGAATAAATCTGTTAAAAAACTCATTTTTTTCCCTCAACATGAGCAAACCCTGAGATTCTGACTCACACTATTCATTAACACATTTACTACTCAACAGATTGTTGAAATGAACTGAAAGGAAAGCTTGGGATTCTTTCAGGGAGGTTAGAAATGCTGCCTCACTGTTATAATGAAAATTAATTATCCAAAGAATTTTCTTGTAGCTGCTAGAAACTACTTCCTGTACTTGGTGAATATCAGTATAATTAATCTGGCTGGAATCCAAATGAGCTAAAGTCATAGGTCAACCTATACCTTAAGTGGCATTTAGCAAAAAAGAAAAAGAAATACCTTGTTAGTAATGATATATGAAAGTCAGAATGTTCAAATCTCTTGAAGTAATAGCATTCAGTTTTCCACCCAGAGTAGTGTTCGCTGATAGTAGTTCCTCATTACTTCTGATTTGGCCCAGATCACTGATAGTTGATAGCAAATGATCTATTCGAGTAGGATTTAGAAGCCACAGAATGTGGAAAAACTACAGCAAATAACATCCAACTTGGTTTGTAACTCATAATTAGCGCTAATTCTAAATTAGGCCTGTGCAACACTTAGATAGGGAAGGGGGCAGACAGGTAGATTCAAAATAATTACAAACCACAAATAACAGGTGGCATACTGATCAACTGTTGTTGTTTTTTAGTTAAGCTGTGTCACTACAGCAGTTGGAGCTGACATTGTTTGCGAGTCCTAAGGTGTTGGAGGACACTTGGCAGCATGCATTTTGTGACAGAAGTGGTTCCATAACCTTGGCATATCCACCTTGGCAAGAGAGATATTTGGCTGCAATGGATTATATTTCAGAAAGGGCTGGCACACCACACAAGACTGAATTTGAATGCTTACTCTAAACCAGGGGTGTCAAACTCACGTCGTCATGGCAGCGTCACATGACGTATCGGGACTTTTTCCCCCTTTGCTAAACCGGGCATGGGTGTGGTTCATACATGATGCATCTGGCCTGCAGGCCGGATGTTTGACAGCTCTGCTCTAAATAATCAAATTAATTTTTTTTAAAGAAGTGAGCAGGAAGTTGGAAATCAAGGTTCAGTATAACCTAATATGTTGTTTAAAAAAAGGTAAAGCTTTCCCCTGTCCAGTCATGTTAGACTCCAGAGGATTGTGCTCATCAACGTGTCTTACCTTAGGGCTGTGCAAAGAAGTTTCCAGGCCCATGGGCTGATATGACTATATGCCAAGGGACATGGAATGCAGTTACTTTCCCACTGAACTGGTACCTATTTATCTACTTGCATTCAAACTGTTAGGTTAGTAGATGCTGAGGCAGGAACGGAAGCTCACCCCATCATATGATCCTTGGGTCTTGAACTGCCTACCTTCTGATCTACAAACCCAGCATCTTAACAGCTAGGCTCATTAACAGCACCTCATTAAGATATTGATATATTGAGTCAAATGTACTCTACTACTTCTCTTACTTTCTTCTTTTTTCCTCATAGCTGTCTGGAGGATGTGAACTAACTGTGGTGCTGCAAGACTTTGTTGCCAGTCACATCAGTGAACTGAGTATTCAGGTGGGACAGACGGTGGAGTTACTCGAAAGGCCAAGTGAACGGCCAGGCTGGTGCCTGGTACGGACCACAGAAAGGAGTCCACCTCAAGAAGGTCTGGTCCCCAGCAGTGCTCTCTGCATCTCCCATTCCCGGAGCAGTGTAGAAATGGACTGCTTCTTCCCATCAGGAAAAGGTAAGCATCAAATCAGTTAAATTTCATCAGTCAAATGTTTTGATAATCATTGTTCTCTACATTTGGATGCATCTATTCATCTTTTCACCTTTGTCTGCCTAAGGGAAGAAGATAATATGTGTGTGTTTTGTCTGTTTGTGCTGGGGAAACTGATTTCATTGCACCAATCAGCCAACCTCAATATCAATTATAATTCCACCTTCTCTCTTTCTGGATAGAACTGATTGGCTTATCCTTGCAACATTGACAAAAGGAAAATCTTAAATAGTAATTATCATTAACACAATTTGGATAACAATATTTTGAATTTTGAATTAGCTATTTCAAAGTCAAGCAAACTGGAAGCAGGTTAGGGAAGTGAGGTAGAAGAAAAGCAGCTTTTGACTGCTGGCAGAATCTGGCAGAAAAATGAATAGCGAAAAGCAACAACAAAATTCTGAATTAACTCCTCTTGATATATACCAACGTGCAAAAAGCATTCCCTTTAAAACAGTTATATTCATCTATCCTTACATGCATCAGCACAAGAAAAATTATAGCGCTTAACAGAATAACAGAGTTGGAAGAGACCATGGAGGTGTTCTTGTCCAACTCTCTGCTCAAGCAGGAAACCCTATACCATTTCAGACAAATGGCTGTCCAATCTCTTCTTAAAAACCTCCAGTGTTGGAGTATCCATAACTTCTGAAGGCAAACCACTCCACTGATCAATTGTTCTGTTTTTAGGTTTGTTCTCTCCTTGATTAATTTCCATTCATTTTTCTTGTCTAGTCTTCAGGTACTTTGGAGAATAAGGCCCCCACTTTTTTTGTGGCAGCCCTTCAAATATTGAAACACATATCATGTCACTTCTTAGGACTAGACAACCTGCACATTCCTGCAACCATTCAACTGTTTTAGCCTCCAGTCCCCTAATTGTCTTTATTGCTCTTCGCTGCACTCTTTCTAGAGTCTCAACACCTTTTTGTATCATGGCAATCAAACGTATTCCAAGTGTGGTCCTATCAAGGCATTATAAGGTGGTACTAACGCTTCATGTGGTTTTGATTCACAGTAATTACTACTGAGCCAAGTACCACCTATTATATATCTGTGCATTTGGATTTTCTTGCCTAATTGTAAAACCTTATTTTCCTCATTATTGAATGTCATTTTGTTAGACAGAGCCCAGTGTTCAAGTCTGTCAAGATTCTTTTGTATTTTGACTTACTTTCTGGGATATCATTGATATCATCTCTAGATTTGATGAGTTCTCCTTATATCCCCTCATCTAAATCATTGATGAAGATATTGAGACAGAACCTTGAGGTATTTCACTGCATACTTCCCTCCATATAGATGCAATTCCAAGAAGGATTATGCAGTGAGTGCCGTTGGTCAACTAGTTACTAATCCATCTGGTGGTGATAGATTAGTCTGTCCAATTCACATTTTTCTATCTTTTCAAGCACTGTAGTAGGTTGTGGTCTACTTCATAAAATGCCTTATTAAAGTCCAAGTAAATTATATGCACAGCATTTCTCTGGTCCACTAATTTTGTCACTTTGTCAAAGAAGAGTATAGTTTCAGTAGGTATCTGACCTACTGACCCCAACCATTAACTCTTTCTCCTTGAGAAAAGAAATTTTCCGAATGTTATCTCTGAAACCATGAAACCCATACTCATATGTAGAATTAATAGTGCAAGATAAGCAATAGAATAATTGCAACTTCAATGGACATGCCCATTAGTTCTTCAGTTATAAAACATATTCTTTTATTTTACTATAAAGATATGAAAGGAGCATGAATTGCAGCCCCCTTCTTGCTAAAATACAGGCAATAAGAAGTAAACTCCATCATTTATTTCTAACAAGATTCTATAACTCTAAGCCATTGCCAGTCTGGCAGTGAAACTGGGAGAACACATCACTACATACTATAAACCAAATTGTGTCCTCTTAGATCATAAACATTTTAAAATTATTTTTCTCTTTTAATCCTTTTTTCTGCATGAAATTTGCATTTCATGTTTTGGGATCTTAGTGACTAGATAGAGTATTGAAAAAAAGAAGGCCAATTTGATTGCATATATTGCATGCATTTTACTAATGGTCTTGTTCACTGTAATTAGACACGGTTTGGAATTAGCTTGATTAGGAAAAGGACTAAAGATGTGTTCTAAAATGTTGAATCTTCTCTGTAAAATGGGAAATGTTTGTAATTAATATATATCTCATGTTTATTTCCAATATAATGTGCAGAACTTTTTATCTACATAACTGTTTTGCAGTCACATGAACATAAAATTTCCCCCCTCCCTCTCCCTCTCTCTCTCTCTCTTTCTCCACATAAAAATACACAAAATATGTTTGTACTTTTAGTCTAAGCCCCTCTTGAACTATTTTCAATTCTCATGACTGCCAATCCATGCCACTTTCTGTCAGATTAATGTGCTATTCTTCATTCTCCACACAAGAGGGCATTCTTGAGTTACACTGCTAGGAAATTATCAGTAACAGTTATTCAATGAAATAATGAATAAACATTTTTTTAAAAGGGAAATATTCGACAGCATAAAATTTAGAACTGAGCAAAAATTTGAAAATATATTTCTCAACCTGTTGCAAGGTTCATGCTCAAAATGCAGCAGCTTTAACAATCTGAAGGGAAGAGTTTCATTATATTCTCACTCTTTGTGCAGCATGTCTTTCAAACGCTTCCAACAATCTTAATAACAGCCAAAGTCATGGAGATCATCATTTTTTTTTACACTTCATTGGGTTAACAAGTCTTAGAAAACTATCAGGATTTGATTTATTCACAAAGATGTCTATTTTGATTTCAAACCACTATGATTATTCTTATAATAGCTTGCCATTTATTAATAATAGTTCCATATTTTATTTTATAATAATTTTCAATCTGGATTATATGGTATAATAGATCAAAAAGCCCTGAACTAGTTGTCTATATAGCTAACCATATCAGAAAATAATACATAGGGGTTTCAGTAGCTAAACCCTAAAATTAAAAGTTCTTCAGTGCTGATGCAATAAATCCCATTTAAATAAAAATTCTCTTCCACAAATTAAGAAGCCCCAAAAGACTTTAAGTAGCAACTAGCTTTCCTCCAAATGTAAAGAAGTACACAGGACTTTTACCCTGGACTCAGATAAGGCATTAAACTCAGGGGTGGTTGCAAACTATTATGGCTAAGTCCAAAATAATAATAAAACAGTACCTGGAGACAGTAGAATAGAAAGAATTGGAGAAGATCATAAAATACAAGGCTCTACAAATAAATGTAGAACATCTGTGGCAAAAGAAAGTAAATTATCAATACTGATAGGCAACTTGGATATAATCCAAAAATATTTGGAGCACCACTTGAACACCATCTATCAGTCAATTGCGAAAAGCAGCTTTATTTGGAAGAAGCTTACATCACGGATGTCAAACTCGCCATGTCACGTTGCTATCATGTGACGTATTGTGACTTTTTTTCTTTACGGAGCTGAGGTGGGCGTGGCCCACACATGACGTATCTAGCCCATGGGCTGCCAGTTTGACACCCCTGGCTTACATCATCTGACAGTGCTTTTAAAACCATCAGAGAACAACATCCCCCTATTCCAGGTCCTTGGGAAAGACTTGATAGGTGGCTAAATGCTAAATCCAATCTAAATATATGACTGACTACAACAAACCATAATAAAAATAAACCAAAGACCGGAAACAATGACAATCTGGTTAGTTGCTGCAAGACAATCAACAGATTGATGAGAAACAATGGCATAAAGTAGCAAGATTTGAATATCTGAAAATATTGAATATCTTTTGCAGCAAGCAAGAACGGATGGGACCACAAAATAGACAAAGTGAGATAAAAATAAAGACACTAAACTACTCTGGGTCTTTAGAATTAAAACAAACAAGCATGCGCCACACAATACTACAGATCTGACAATTGTTGAGAAGACAGACAAAAAAGTCTGGATAGTGGACATTGCAATGCCTGGAGACATCAGAAGAAAAGAGAAGGAACTGGGTAAAATTATAAAATATAAAGACCTGCAAAAAAATAGAACGACTATGGCAAAAGACAGCAAAGATAGTACCAATAGTATTAGGCACTTGAGTGCATCTAGCACTGACAAAAATCACTATCAGTCAATTGCAAAGACAGTCTTCCATGGAACAGCTTACAACCCACTGTGATCCTTTGAACACCATGAAAAAAAAATCTCCCTAATCCAGGTTCTTGAGAAAGACTGATAGGGTGTTTAAAAAAAAAAAAGGCCAAATCAAAGTCTAAACCTCTGGTTGACTGTGCAAGCAATCATAATCAATCTAAGTGTGTTGTGTGAGTAGGCCGTCACTTCAAGCTATAATGTAGCTTTGTTTGTTTTCATTGTCAGCCATTCAAGTTAAGTCTGGTGGATAGAATGGTACTTTGTAGGTGTACACTTATTGAAAGCCTATTGTAAGGATGTTTTGTTTTTTTTAAGTGGAGTTTATAGAGTAATGAGATTCAAAGGGTGGTACAGGATGATGAGACCTGTCATTGCTATATTGGAGGGAAAGGGGAAAAGGCAAGCAAAGGAGCAATTGCTGACATTTCCTTTTAAACAGATGCCCTGCTTTGACTAAGGAAAAGACATTGGACTTCTCACTCTTACAGAGGCAGCTTAACCCACCCTGATATGAGGAAAGAGGTGGGTATTTTCAAATGCCCACTGCTTTCCTCTTAAACCATGTATCATCATGCAAATTCAATTCTATAAGCAGTATGTCTGTTGCAAAATTAAACAGCCAGTGTGGTTAGATTGCTCTGCCAGTAACTAGTATACTTTCCAGGAAATGTTGCACTGAAGTTTAACATACTGTAGCATGAGCTTGCTTGCTTAGTTGTTGTTGTTGGGTTTTTTTGTTTTTGTTTTACTTATCCCTCCATAATTTACTGAGGAAACTTGTTATTTGGAATCTTTCCACTGACCCAAAAATGACTATCTAGCTTT